CGTCGGCGACGCTCGCTCCACCGGGTCGCGGCAGAGCCAAGCCGTATTTGCGCTGACCTGCAGGAGGAGCGAGAACGGGCGGGACAGACCAGTCCAGTCCGAGCCAGATCCATCCCGAAGCACTGTTGTTAAATCCCGGCGCTCCCGCAGGGCCAGTCCGCAGCGCTTGACCCTCAGTGCTCACTGACCCCGAGGGACAGCCGCGGGCTGGTGTCCAGTCCAGCTGACGCCGTCAGTCCAGATGTGGTCTCTACGCGTTTGCAGTCTCGCCTGCCCTGTTCTCTCTCAGGCTTGCTCCAGAGTTCATCTTTCTCCCCAGCTGCTCCGCGCTGTGTGCAGCCGCATGGTGATGCGTGACTCTCAGCGCCCCGAGGGGCAATTTGTTTCCTTCTTCCGCGTGCTAACACTCTCCAGGTTCGGCCGGCGATCTGCTCTGCATAAACGTAAACGACAAGGTGTGAATTTTGCCCCCTCCCCACTTTTTAAATTAAAAGTGAAAGTATTTCGAAGTGTGTGTGTTTGTGTGGTATTTTTGCGATCGGCTTTGTGATTTTGCTGCGGACAGAACCTTAACGTTGCCGGTGTGCAGTGATCCTGTCTCGGCTTCACGGCGGCGGTGCGGTCGGGCTTGCGGTGGCGGTTTTTTAAGGACAGATCAATGTGACAGATCCCGCCACGGGAAACGCGCCGAGTGTTGTCGCCGTCGCCCACGGCCGCTGTAAGACGGTGTGCCAGTCTCCTCACCAGTGAAGGCGCGGCTTGCGGCAAGCTTCTCATTTCCAAATTGGTGGGTCAGCTGACACCCACTGCTGGGTGCGTTTTCTGTCGAAGTACATCGCCAACTCGTCGTGCTTCACAAACGAACTTTTGAAGTCGGGCGAGGAGACGGTTCGGATGGGCGATTATACGAAACTGCCATATAGTGCCTTTTTAAACAGATGAAACACGTCCACCCGCTGCCCCCGTGTGCCCCACTAACAATTCGATTATTGATTCGGATAATTTGATTTTATGATGACGACACACCTGAGTTGTATACGTGAGGGAAGGTTAAGTGTCTATGAATGAGAGGAACACTCGTTATACAAACGAGATTTTAACGCTGTGGCTGGTGTTTTTGGCGCCGTCCTAAACCCTTTTTGACTTCTGAGCGCCCACCTTCAATCCAAGTGACATGTCACAGCCTCGGACCCGTGACCGTAGCACCGCTACTCCTTCTCCCACAGAGCTGATGCTTTTCGTTTCTGTTATCAAAACGGACACAAGACCCAGAGGAAACAAGCGGAAGCTACGCGGCTTTGCATTTAAAAATGAGAACAGGAGGCATTTTTCTTTTACACTAAGGGTGGCGGGGGCGTGGAACAAGCCCCCCAGTCATATTGTTGAAACCGACACGTCGGATTCTTCCAAGAAAGGACTGGATAACATCCCCGGGTCAATTAGCCACAAACTACTAGGCAGGCTAGTTGGGATGAATGGGCTCCTCTCGTTTTTAACCTTGATTATGTTCTGACGTATTTTAAATATTTCAATTTTAGGAATATTAAAGGTAACAAAGGAGAGCAGAGTTACACACGCTTGGCTAGTTTACAGACGATATCGAAGTTGCCCAACACTGCAGCGTTATTATTAATTTAAAATAGCAATCTTAAGAATTCGGTGTTTTTAATCAGTGCTGTGAGTACACCAGTCGGTGGGACACGTCGTTCTCTGCTGAAAATGAATAACTGCTGCTGCTCCCCCTGTCGGACAGGTGTCGTTAGTGCAGCTAATGTAAGGCTCACCATGGACTGAACTATTGTATCGGCAGGGTGGATTAGCCGTCATCCTTCTCGGGTCTTTAAAGTCAGTGTATTTGACTTGGGCTTACCATCGGTTATTTGCCGTTTAGTTTTCAG